ATCACTTGTCGGAAATAACTATGTTTGAGGAGAAAGCTCATTAAGTTCCGATTCGATTCTCTCCTGCCAATTTGTTCAAAAGTTGATCTTTCACTAGAATAATGAGCAAATGAAATCATCCCCTTCTCAAACAAAACATCGAGAAAGGGTGAGGTTTCCAAATGCTCTATAATGTAAACCCAGTTGCTTTGAATGGCATTAAATTCTAAAGAAAACATTTTGTTTTTTTTTGTTTGTTTATTTAATATTAAATGTACACTTACAATAATGGTACAAATTAAGCAGTTAATAAGTTCTAGCAAACGAATGTAGATGAATAGGTGAAAACTCTGAAATGAATGGAAAAAAAAAAAAAGGTAAAAAGACATCAATTTGTCAGAAAATATTCATCATTTGAACCTGAACTTCAACATGTGTTTATCAGACAAGAAAATATGAAAGATTCTTACCTTCCACTGTAAAGAATGTGTCCGTTCAGCTTGAAAATATCCAAACTCCTAAAATAAAACTGAGGTCGCGTTGAGTTGTGTATGGTTTCTGATGAGGCTCAGAGATGAATGTGAGGTTGGGATCACAACTCCAAAGGTTTTATGCTATGTCTAATATGAATGGCATCTGGAAGTGGAGACGAAGGTGTGGGCGACGAAGAAGCAAAAAAAACATGAATTTAAAAAAATAGAAAAAGTCATAAGGTACATCGACGATGTTATCGGGTGCACGAGGTGTGGGCGACGATGAATCCCCAAAATAGAAAGTCATTACGTACATCTATGATGTTATTAGGTGCATTACCCCCCAAAAAAAATAGAAAGTCGTTGGGTACATCGATGATGCTATTAGGTGCATTATATGATGTCAGATGGGAGTGGAGACAGCGTGTGGGCGACAATGAACTAAAATTAGATGGATGTTGTTGACACAGGTGTGTGAGGTATTCATTTCCAAAGGTCGAAGGACTTCAGAGACTCACATCTGGTTTAGATTAGGGTCAGGAAGTGCGCTATGACGTCAGAAAGCCTATTTAAGGATGATGTTTCTAGGTCAGAGCCTCCATTGAGGTTCCGAAGCTCTTAAATTTATACTACTGATAATTGTGTTTTAATTATGTTTGATTTTTTGGTTGCATGTGACCTTTAAGAAAGAATCAAGGGTCAAAATGAAAATTTACACAAATCAGAGTACTTTCAGAAAGTACATAACGAGTCACATAATGAGACAGCAGTCTGGAAACACGTCATCAGTAGCGAGTGTCAGTGGTTTCCATGAAAACTGAAACTGAATTTTGCACCATTTCCGGCTGTTTCCCAGTGCGATTCATTACCCACTCCTCCAAGCCGGATGCAGCTGGTTTCCGTGTATTCGTTTATTGTGGGTTTCAACCTGGTCTCCATGTTTCCGTTTATTGTAGGTTTCAACCTGGTTTTCATGTTTTAGTTTGTTGTAGGTTTCAACCTGGTTTCCATGTTTTAGTTTGTTGTAGGTTTCAACCTGGTTTCCATGTTTTAGTTTGTTGTAGGTTTCAACCTGGTTTACATGTTTAAGTTTGCTGTAGGTTTCAACCTGGTTTACATGTTTTAGTTTGTTCGATTCCCCACATGGGTACTATTTGTGAAGCCCATTCCTGGTGTCCCCCGCCGTGATATTGCTGGAATATTGCCAAAAACGGCAAAAAATCATACTCAGTCAGTCAGTCAGTGTTTTAGTTTGTTGTAGGTTTCAACCTAGTTTCAAAGTTATAACCTAGTTTCCATTAAAACTGAAACTACATTTTGCACCAGTATCTGGATGGTATCCATGTCGGGACTTAACCCACTCGTCCAACCTAGTTCCCAGCTTATAACCTGGTTTCCATGAAACTGAATCTGTTGTGCCGGCCCCTTACCCGCTCCTCCAGAAAAGAGGTTGTGTTTCATGCAACACACATACTAAATCAGGTATTTTATACAATTGCACAATGGTAAAACCGTCAGGATCACACATAACAGAATAAAACACAAAGTCATAAAAGGTTTATTTACATTCAACAATTTGCTGATAAACAAATGGTATTTGGAATGTTCACATTAATAAAAACTGAATTTTCAAAATGCATAAATAATTAAAAGCAATGAAGGAATAAATAGCAGTGAGTATGGAATGTTTTCCTAAACTCCTCAATGTAGATGAATCCATATTATTTGGTTTTCCAATTTGAGAAATGTTAACTCTTTCCCCAAGAGAGGAAGAACTTTCTGCTTCTTCTTCTCCGGGCAGTCAATCATTGTAAGGACCTTCTTCCTGCTTTTCAGCTTCTGAAAGTTAGAAAACAATAAACAGTCAGTACTAACAAGCATTCGTCAACAATGTCGCAAGCTGGAGAAAGGAAAATTGTCCAATGTTCCTTAAGCTTGAGGAAAAATAAACTGTAACCACTGTCCAATAAGCACGAAGTTCAATAAATCAAAACTGATCATTTCTTTCACTAAATAACAGTTGTGACTTATAGAAAACATTGACATTAATTTATAACGTCTCTTAGACATGCACACTAAATTCATACTACCATTGCCTCTTTTTCCGAGAAATTCTCATGTGAAAGCTATAACTTATTTTCTGAATGTTACATACATTATGCTTTGATATTATATGTATAGAACTACGAATTATCCATTATTTTGAAAATAATGTGAAAAGAAATGTTTGGGTTTAAAAAATAATGTAGGGTCATTCTGGCAGACAAGAAATTGAATGGGGTCATAGGCGGACCTCCATAACTAATATCTCATACTGCTATTGACAATGTGTTTGCAGCTACTATTTAGTGGGGTATTGTTAATAATTTGTTAATTGATGTGTACAAGGTGAAATATGTCCAGACCAAAACATAATGTACATTGGCGCTTTACTATGTACTATTTAAAACTCTTTTAGCTGCATATTTCTAATTATACATTGCACATGTTAAACAGTGTTTATTTTGAAAGTTCTTTGTAATATCAGTGTACATTTTCAAGAAATTACATTGACTTGATTTTTTTTCAAATAAGGTTTTCCTTACATTTTAACCTGTGTAACATTAGAATTGAGAACGATTAGTATTTACTTACACATCTGAATCTTTTGTTGTTCAACGGACAAAGGCCTCTGCTTTCCCACTTCTTTGTCTTCTAGGTGAACGACCCCTCTTGTTCGTCCAAAACCGCCAAACTGCTTCTGAAAGGAGATGTGCATAAGTGGAAAATATTTCCAGTTGGAAGTTACGAAAATAGTGGTTGTGTAATTTTTATGTATTTTTCTGATTCACAGGATTTACATCATTTGGATAATTTTATGTACATCATTTACTGAAGGGTTTGGATTGCACATGCCTGTTACAGGGCAAGATCAGTTAGTCATCTTCAGTTTTTCCAACACTGCCCTAATGGAATGCTGGAAATGTAGAAATTAAGGGAAACATTAGTGATATTGTACTCTTGATAACAATAAGGCATAAAAATAGAAGAATAAATATCAATTTGCAAGGTGTAGATATGCTAATATTAAAAGAAGCAAAATTAACATGTTCATATAATTTTAGGTTGGCAATGTACATCAATGTATCCCCAACATATCCTAGTAAACGTTCTATATATACAACTTTCTTTACAAACTTCTTTTGTGGATCTAACAAAATCCACATCTCTTCATTCAGAGTTAAATATATCTTGACATTCTAAGTGTAAAATTGTTCACATCAGATGATTAACTTAAACTACCTCATACATCAGTAATCTATCCAATACTGAGTTGAGTTGAGTTGGGCTTTACGTCACATCGGCATTATTCCAGCCATATAGTGACGAGAACAAGTTTGCATTAGTAAACATTGTAAGTACATATTCGGAATGAGTTTTATTTCAAAGACATATATGGATTACATTGTCATTTAAAAGCAGAGAAAGTCATAGCATCAAATTTAAAGGCAGGCGATTTGTTAGTCACATTTCATAGTTACAATTTATGGTTGTTACATTTCGCACTTACAATTTATGATACAGATCAACTTCCCTCAGGTAGTTCACTATCAGATGAGCGCTCACGCTGGAGAACAGATCTTTTAGGTTTGTTGCATCATAATGTGAGTCCCTTGCAGACGATAAGTCCACGCATTCAAGCAGAATATGCTTGATGGTGAAAACCTCATCGCAAGAGACACACATGGGGGGTCCATCCCCATTCGTTTTCAGCAATACTGACTTGATAACCTTTCAAAAAACAGTTTCCAAAAATATTGTGTTGACAATTTATCCACTCAACAGCATTATAGTATCATGATAAATATCGTCTTAAAAGTTGGCTGAAAAATATTGTCGATATTTTTTTGGTCATAGGCTGTCTTGTAACTCTAATAACTAGAGCAAGAATTTTGAAACTTCACTGTAACCATGCACCAAATCTGGTCATTTTCCTATAAATGCAAAATGACTCACTATCCCCCGCTGTTATCTTGACATTGCTGGATATATTTGTGGTTCATATTGTTCTTGCAAAGACAATATTTCATACATTACGATAATGAACCATTTAGTCGTATGTGACCTGATCCAAATCACAATCGAGTTCTTGAGTTGACTAAGTAAAGAAAGCCATATCTCTTGCAAACATTTTGACACGCAATTGCTTATCGAGTTCCATCAAGTCTAAAATTTTAATTTCATATTTATTGTCCTAGCTACTTAATATGTACATTAAACGTTACACATAACATGAGCTATTGCTTAATTCAAGAAATTTACACTGTACCTGACATGGTCGTGGAATGTTCCCTTTCTCCCTCCGCGATCGACGACTGCTCATGTTTTCAAGTTTTCACGTACCCGAGCCTCCAAAGCTTCTAGTGTGACTCGCATTGCCGTTTTCTTGATTCAGATAACATGGACAAGCGAAGAAATTATTCATTGTGCTGGGTTCCTTGTTGTGATAATAACGGGAGACACTTGGGCCCACTTTCAAAAGAACTTCTCATGAGATCAAGTGACAAAATGGCGGCAATTGTGTGTAGAGGCAGTGTGGGTAATAACAAATACCTAATCCCTTTTCGATTGGCAGGTATGAACACATTATCTGACCCAATTTGGTTGTGATTATAAGACATAAAAGACGACAATGACCACTTCAGTACATAAAACCATGCTTTTATAAAATGTAACGAGTTCGCGCGTGCCCACGGATTACCGACTCATTACTTCTACAGAAATTTAATTTTGATAATAGGTGCCCGTTAAGACGAGACAACCACAAGGAAGCCGACACACAGACCCCGACATACAGATGGCATGACACTGATTGTTTGCCATGTACTTGAACTCACTGTCAAAGCATACTAACTTCAAATGCTTCAATGGTAAACATTACTCACAACCTCTATTCATAGTACAATTCCTTGATATTCTAGTTATTGAGAAATCCGTAATGTATGTACCGGATTTACAATTGTTTGATTACATTATACTAAACTTCCTAAATACTTATACTCTTTCACATTCTAAAGCAAACATAATTAAACCGATTTTCCCCTCAAATTTCACTTTTTGACGTTTAAGATTTTCCATTACTACAGTGAAAATTGTTACTCATCGTAGGATATCATCCATCTTTTTAGATGTTCAAAATTCCCCTTCATATGAAATGCCAGGATGGTCAACTTCATGCCAAATACTTGCAAATTTTAAGTTACTCAGTTCAAAACAGTGCACAGGAAACCAACATGAAACTACAGATTCTGGTTTTATGTTGGTTTCATTTCATGAAACTTCAATTGCAAATTCCAGGAATGGAAACCAACAAGGAACCTCTAACCTTAGTTTCTCGTTGGTTTCGATTTACAGAAATGCAAAAATCAAATAATCCAAAATGGAATCTAGTTGGAAAGTCAGTTACTCAGTTTCATTGAATGGAAACCAACTGGATTCCAAAATTACCCAGCATACGGATGGTTTCCAGGTTTCAGGAAACCAAGTCATTTTTGTAGTGTTAGTTTGGCGCATTCGCTTGGGTCTGGCCTGTTTGTTGGTTGCCGTCTTTTAATTTGCTGATGGTGACCTGCTGCAGTTAGAGGTTCTTGACAGCTGACGGTATGAGTTCCTCATATTGGTCATACCGATCGCCTTGTTTGGTTCGGCTTGCGTCTTGGCATATTTGTGGTGTTTTCTTTTTATTACTGCATGCTTGCTGTGTCCAACAGTGGTATTAATGGCACAATCATGCACATATATTTGGACCAATGACCTACAATTACGTCGTTCACGTTTTGAAAATGCGCTATTTGTACGAGGTTTTCAGACAGGTGCGTTGTTATCGGTACCATGTTGCGTTTTGGCGAATGTTTTTTATGCTTGGGTTCAAACCTGTACCACTGTTTTAGTTTTATATACTGTTACTTTAAAAGTGATAACGTTCTTTTGCTCGGTAGTTGATAGCTTATTTCACTGTAGTTTTATCTCATTTCAGTAATCCAAATCAGCATTGGCGGCGGACCAAGCAAGACGAGGGTTGAGGTGAGTTTTCATTTGCTGACAAGCAGCTCTGAGCACATGCAGACATGAGCAACATTTTCCTTCCTCAGAGTGTAAGAGCAATCAAAATGTTTTGATTTCTTTCATGCTTTGTTTCTGAACCATATTTCGAGTGGCTTGTGAAACGGGTATCTACTAATCGTATACAAATCTACCTGGTCTGAAAGGTTAGAGAAATGGAAACAAGAGCTTCACCTGAAATCTGTCAGATCTGTCGTAAAATTACTTCGGGAGGTTCAACTGGAGATCGTGAGCACGTGGAAGTACCACTCCTACACATGAAGGAGTGATCTCCATGTTCAGTTGCTCAAACCGTCAAAGGTGTCGAACTAGAAGACTCTTCTAAATGTTGAAGAGCTCTGGTCTTTTTTCTTATTTTCTCCTTTCCTGTACTGGAAAGGTGGGTTACACTCTCTGTTGTCTTGAGTTGAAATTATGTCTTCTGGTTGTGTTTCCTCAGTCTGGGAGGCTGAAGAATGTTGACAATCTTGTGTTATGGGACTATTGCCATCCAAGTGTATTTGAGTTGCACTGATTCGGGATAACACAGTTTGAAAGGAAGTTAAAACTGATGTAGAATTCCTAACAGATGTGGAGCAGAAGATGAAACTGTTGCTGAATATGTCAGACCAGTAGAAGGATTAAACTGTGAATTAACTAGTATTTTGGCCTCAAAGTATGACATGTTATTAGTGCATTTGATTTTGCGAATTTTAGGTCTTGCATTCAAACTTTGGGCAGGATTTTGATGAAGCCAGGTGCTCACCACTGCACTTTGCGCACTTGATGCTATTTGTGCAATCGGTGCTTTCGTGAGTTCCACTGCAAACTGACTTGCGGTACAAGACCTTGCACCATGGTTGTTACGTTTGAATCCTGTTTTCTTGTAAACCGTTTAACAAAAGTCACGCCTTGGTCTCGGCAACAATTTTCTCTTCTGTCATGTCTGATAAACAACGGGACCTGTCTCTAACCATAGCTCTATAAGTGGTCAGTGTCTTATGCACTGAGACAACAACCTGTTTATTCACAAACTGCTGTAATCCCAGCAGATTGATAGATTGCTGCCTCCGTACACATTGTACCAAAAGTGGCCTTGGGGACGGCAAAAGGATTAATATTCAATGGATTTCCATCATCAGATGATATAACCAAAACCTTGGCCACGATACATTCACTAAAGAAAATACCTCTTCGTCAGACGAAGAAGTAAGAATATCTCCGCTTATTTGTTGTTGACGACCCAGATTGAGTGTTTCTAGTAGAAGAAAATAATTCAGCACCCCTTTCCCCACCCGCAACACCAGAGCTACAGGGATGGTATACTCCAGAAATAAGGACATACATAGCTAAGAAATGTAAGAAATGGTTCGGCCCATGACATTAGTCTTAATAAGCTCAGAATTTAGAGGTCCATATCACCAGACTGGGCCATGAGTCACGCCTAAGACTCTAGTTAATTTAATGTAACTATAATTTGTATATTGAAATTGATAATCAGAATAACTAATGCCCAATAAGTTAAATGTTAAGAAATAGTGCACATGGCATGGCATGACTAGCCGATAGATAGAATCGGGCCCATTCTACCACCCGTCTTGGTAAAGTAAAGGTAGACATGGTGTATTGCCAAAAGGTAACGCTGTTCCTGGCTCCTATGCACTTCACCACCAGACTCGCGTCCTCCACCGATACTAGGACGCAACCCACGGCAAACACATTGCCTAATTCGTTTACCTCTTACAACCAGCAATAGGGTGTTGTGGATACATTCTCCCGTGGGTCCACACGGGGTCGAAGAGCTATTACAGTCCATTTGGGTTCAAATGAGAACAACAAATGATTAAATAACTCGAAATTGGATAAGTGCACAAAACAAAGATAAGAAACATGGTCCTGAAACCTCTGTACCCAACAGGATCTGAAATCTGACGTTTTTTGATCGATCACGGAAAAAGTTGTTTTAGAAACCATCGTGTAATATTGTCCTATTTTACGCTTCACGCCGAGGGGTGACAAACGGCTGATGGAACAGCGCCTCACAAGCTGGAGTCATTTCACCTGGCTGTGCTGAGTTGCACCTGAATGTGTGCTGGTGCTGTTCCATCAGCCGTTAGTTTAGATTACGTATGTTTTTGACGAGTGATCCGCGTATTGTTTGCGTTGCCTCATCTATTAGTTCATTGGCTGACGGGGGTCCACATGCGCCAAAGACATACACACACACAAACACACACACACCGGTCTACTTCTTGGGTATTTCCTAGTAGCCATGGGTCCCTCCTTCAGAAAAATGCAAGTTAACATTAAACAAACTGGTTCCCGAGGTACCTATTACGAGCATTTGTAATGTTGCCCGACGAGCTTTTTATACACCTTTTTGGGGGGAAGGGGAAACAAATGTGGCAATATCTCTTGCGCTGTAGATCCACCACAACAAACTACCACTCTAAATATTGGTATTTACATTCTCTTTCACATGGTATATAATATATGCAAATCGGGTAGACAAGTAGGTCACCAGAGGTCAAAAGGTCACAGAATTTAGCCGATGCCCAAAATCTGACTCATGCCCCTTTATGTCAATGTCCTGGTGCCAAATATGGAATTTTATCACGGAAACACCTCAAGAAGTGAAGAATGATGTTGCTGTTACAAAACAAAAGGGCTAATGTTTGATCATTGTGCCAGTTTTCGGTTCTATTGCATGTGAAGTAAAGGTATATCCGTTTTCAGCAGATAGTCATGTGTAAATCGACTGTGGCCAATACGACATCATCGTAAAATTACCTCATCACGTTTTGACTGACAACCCAAGTAGGTATAACCGATTGTTGGCTTCAATTCATGGAGTTCGTTTCTTCCTACTTGAGTGTCCCACCTTTTTTGCATCAGGTCCCGAGTATAGCTTTTGATAGTGGGTTTGAAATCACTGTACGGGATTAGCAGTGGAGATAGGGGCTTGTCAAGAGCTGCTTTTGCTGCACCATCGGCCTTGGTGTTACCTGCTATGCCGACGTGACCCGGCAACCAGCAGAGGAGGATGTCACATTGGCCAGTAGAAAGGTCGTCGTAAAGTTCTAATATTTCTAGGATGATTGGATGACTTGAAGTCACATTTTGAGAGACTGTCTACCGGAGAGGTCCTAAAAGCTCCCAGGCAGAGCCTCAGCCCTTGGTGGTGGATTCTGTACAAGTGAAGGAGGTTGGTCTGATCCCCTCCCCACTCTGTATTTGAAACTACTTTTAGCAAGTCTAGAGCCTTCAAGCACTTTGTTTTCAAATATTTTATGTGTGGTAAGAATGTCAGGTGGCGGTCGAATATGAGTCCAAGGAATTTGGCCTCTTCTACTACCTTGATGAGAGTACCATCTAAAGTTAGGTCTGGATCCTTGTGTGGTTTGTATTTATGACAAAAGTGAAAACAATTTGTTTTGGATTTTGAAAACTTAAAACCATTTTCATTGGCCCATTTTTGGATTTTGTTAAGGCAGAGTTGTAGCTGCCTTTCTATTGTGTGCATGTTCTTAACACGACATGAAATATTGAAGTCATCCACGAAAAGCGACCCATCAACGCAACTGTTCACAACGTTAGTGAGGCTGTTAATTTTGATGCTAAAAAGTGTGACAGACAGGATGCTGCCTTGGGGGACGCCCTGATCTTGGTATAAAGTTGTCAATATGTCAGTATATGGAGGGAACGAAACATATAAGAAGATCGTCACCAAGAATATGCTTTTGCTTCTTATTCGTCTCAATGCTGCATAGACCAGTCAGAGTGTTCCAGGGTGGGGTGGTTTTGTGTCATTGACAGGGAAGATACGGCCAAAACTCACAACTGTCGAGTATTACCCTATCATACCGCATCCGATCACAGACTACCAAGAAGTGAAGGAATGTCTCAGCCAAGGAGAAAAGGATACGAGCGAAGCTGGCCAACAGTATGTCATCACCACCTTCGATCTCGGAGACTGCATGAAAGCGTATCCATTGGTTTGCACCAATCCGAACCGATATGCAGACCACATGATCATGATTGGGACTTTCCACTAAACATGTGCATATCTCAAGATGATAAGAAAGAAGATGGCTGGTACAGGACTCAATGATATTCTTCTAGAAGCAGGCTTAATCTCAACAGGGTTTGTAAGCTCAATGATATCAGGAAGGAACAATGTCCGTGTCATCAATTATCACAAGAGCCTGCTTGAAGCATTGGAGCATTTACTACTCCTGCAATTTCTTTATTCCCGAGGTGATGAGAGTCTGCCCTCAGGCTGACCTCAGGAGTCCAAAGATCGTTTTCAGGTCCTGACAGTCACCATCTTTAGCGACGCCGAGAAGCAAGCACCACAGGATGATGCCATAGTCAGATACTTGAGTGAATACCTCAACTTCCACAATGGTGCACGAGAAGGGGTACTAGGCAAAACAGCTACATGGACAATGTCTGGTTGGCGTTTAGACCACTTCAGGCAGTAAAGACCAATGACTATCATGCCTATGCAGAATGTCTTGGCTTGATGGCCGATCTGTTTTTGAGCTTTAACGTGCAAACTACGCAAGATGCGTGACCTTCTTTGCTATGTTCATTGCAAATATAGAAGAATCACACCCTGGTGCTACAGAACTGTTGAAACGTCCCTTTTCCAACAGAAATTGTGAATAGGAAGTAATGGTGCGCTCACCCCTTGCTCCAAGTACAAGAATCCCTTTCGGAATATATACTGAACTACAAAAGAAATGTCGCACTGATAGCGGATTCTTAGGACACACTCTTTAATTCACTTGACAGTTATGGCTAACACATTTTTGGGAATCATATTTGAGTTGAGAGTTCACACAAACAAAATCACCAACAATGGTACCATTAAGATACCCCAAAGTCAATATTGTGTGTGGTCTCTATGGGCATCGATGGAATCGTTGCATCGTCTGTACATGGAATGAATTAGCCGGTCGATGAAGGCAATAGGTACT